AAGTGAGAAAGTGTTTGTTTTGTTTTGTTTTGTTTGTTTTTTTTCTCATCAGGTAATGGAAATTAAAAAGAACATTAGGAAATTTAATGGATTTGCTTTTGAAAAGGTATGTCATGTATGCTTGAGTGTGTTTCCCAATCTTATCACAGGGTAGTGCACTGGCGAAAGTGCTCACCTCCCACCAATATGGCCCAGATTCGATTCCGGCCCAGTGCCATAATTTTATGTGGGTTGAGTTTGTTGTTGGTTCTTACCTCGCTTTGAGGGTTTTTCTGCGGGCTCTCCAGTTTTCCTCCTTCCACCAAAACCAACATCTCCAAATTCCAAATTTCCCTCTAAAATTGTAATTTATTTATTTAATTACATTGTTTGGATTTATTATCTTTGCATGTGGATAAGTTGATCTGAATACCTTTTAAAGAAATAGTTGTCACTTTTTATTTCAGGATTCTAAAGAATATGAAGCAAAAAAGCTTGGTGTGGAAAGGTAATGATTATTTGTTTGCTTTCACAACAACTCCATTATTTTATTTCTTTATGCGTTTAATATTTATTAAATTTATTTATTATAAATATTTTATTTTTTACATACCGGTAACTGTATTGTTTAAATATACTGCACTTGTCAGTATACCACTAAGGAAAGAAACAAAACTGCATTAATGCCAGGCATTGTCTATGGTATAACCCACAGGAATCTATGATTAATTTTGTGCACATGTAACCTGTGCCTTTATTTTTGATATTGCTTTTCTGATAGTGAGATCTGTTGTCATCCTTTTCCTGTAGATTTACAAATGATGGTTTAAAAAGACTTTGTGAAATCTTTGACTTGGAAAAGAAAGGAAAGCGGGTGAGGCAACACACTATATACTGAAGAATTTTTTGAAGTTTTTGTGTTTATTCTGAAATCATGGGATTTCCAGCTAGCAGGATTTCCATTTGTTTTATACATGTAGGTAAACCTTGAGTAGCAAACATGAAGTTGGACTGATGTTGAGATTGACAATTTATATTCTCTTTAAGACATTAATTTGTTATTTAAATGTTTTTTCCCTAGAGTGACCTCCTAGAAAAAGTTATGGATTTTCTTATGTCACCGGAGTCATCAGGGAGAGTAAGTGTAGTATTTTGTAAAGGAATGAAAAACACAACTAATACACATGTACAATGTAGTACAATACTACAAGACTCTGTCAAACATACAAGATGCTCTCTTAATCCTTCTCTTCTACTGAAAAATTATATTTTTTAATGTCACTTACTTGTTTGTATCATTAAACAATCTTATGCAGCCTGCCCCTCAACCTAAAGCAAAAAAGGCAGAGAAGAAGAAGAGACAAAGAACAAAAAAGAGTAAGTTTTAATTAATATTTGATGTTTGGAGGCCAATAGCAAATCAAGTTCTTGAACAGTGTGGAATAATTTAGCATCAATTCCCATTTTGCAATTTGTCATGCTTAGAATATCTGAGCACTGATGAAATGAACACTGGGAACAAACAGATCCTGAAAATGATGGAAAATATGAGAGTGCTACTATTAGTTACCAAGTTTATTTTAAGTTTGATACCCCTCCCATGTTGGGTTTTTTAGTTAAAACCTCCCCCTCCCTCTGGAAATTTCAGTTATGGTTTATACTTTCCTTTAAAAATTGTGGTTTTTGTGACTTCCCCTCCCCCTTTCCCCTTCCCCTATCCTGTGGCATTTCCAATTACCCACCTTGGAGTTAGGGTGGATATTTTCTGGAACCATACACACAATCTCTTGATATTTCTACTATGATACACAGTTAGTCAGGGTTCCTGACAATTTCAAAGGCAAGGTGTCAATAAGAAATTTCAACTGGTCTAGTCAATGTTTTCTTGTTATTGACTTGAGACCCCCCTCCTACCCTCGTCTAGAACACTTCTTATTACCAATCCATGTATCATTTTAAAATTGTGTAATTGATATTTAAGTATAACTACAGTAGCTCACCTTCTGGGTTTTCTCATGTTGCAGCAGATAGCTCAAAAAGTAAAACTCCATCATCAAAGGTTTGTTTGTTACTACAAATAAAAACATTTGGTGTACACATTCTCAATAAACTTCTCAATTTTATGTCCTTTCCTCATTTGAGATACATGTAAAAAAACAAGAGGCTGGATTTGAAATCTTATGAATGTAAACTTCAAGGAAGCCAATGCAAATGCACATACTTATTGACTATGATCATCAGCTCGTAAAGACGGATATTATCTATATTATGAATTGGCGTGATAATATGGCACATTGAGGGTATTCCTCAGAATTGCATTGCGTATCCCTAATGCACACGATTTTTGCGTCATAAGCGCAGGCTCACAAGCAGGTGCATACACACAATATATACAAAATGGTGGCTTTTGCTAAACGGCTTGGCTTGAGTGAGACAACTCGGCATCTTTCTCAGAAATGAGTTCTTGGACCCAACAATTTTTAAATTTAGTTTGAATGCAGAGATCACCTTCTCTCTATACAGTGTATATAGACCAATTTCTATTGCAGAGTTTTAAACTATCACTGAAAATAGCTAGTGTTTGGAAAAGATAATATGTGCTCTGAAGAACACTGCATACCTGGAACATATTGAATCTCTGTCGGCTAAATACGAGTGCCTTTATCATGAAACACACATCAAATTACTCCTTAACATTGTTGCAGCACATGCATTGATGTTTTTCTCAGTTAACTTTCTCCCTTTTTTTCTGCTCTCACAAAGCATAAAGTGAATGGTTCAAATATAAACATTTCTGAAAGCAGATAATTTAAGAAATTATGGGGTTTATTGAAGGTCCTCTGGCTCCTAAATGAATACCGGGACCCCACTTTTTTATTTCAAAATTTAGGTTCTCTTGAAATAAGCAGTTTAAAGTTAAAGTTTGAAAGAAAATCTAATGTGAGTTATATTTCGATGGAATTACCTTATATTAGTTTTACCTAAATTTCTAATGTAATGTACATAATTTATCATATCATTGGTAGTAAAATATCAAATCAACTTGCCAAGCTTATACATAGAAATTTCTTTCAGTCCAAAAAGACATCAGAAATTGTAGAAAGCGGAGATGATGCAGATAAGGAGGATGAAGAAGATGAGGTTGAGGAAGAGGAAGAGGAAGTAAGCGGACAAGCCTACATGTAGTATACAATGACCATTTAAAAACATGACTTGTAGTAATCGTAGATTAAAGAGTGTGCTCGAGTATTGGTAGGACTGGTATGTTAAAATAGTAATTAGTGAGCTTCTGTTAGGTTAACTACATGACAAGGATTGGTGCCTACCCAGGGATTTCATTAAGAGCAGGGCACCAGGAAAATTGATTGGTTGTGAGGATGAATTTCCCTGCCTGGTTTGACCATCTAGAGGAAAGTCTTTCTTACAAAGAAGTTCAGTTCAAAACGTTTTACCCACCTGTGAAAACTAGTTATCCTCCTGCTGAAAACATAAATGAAACCCCTGCCAAGTGAGTTTGCTTACGAGATAACGTGCATGTGGTAGTCCACCGATGAAGTTTTTCCTTTAATGCCAATCTAGGATTCTAAACAAAATTCAGGGCATTAGAAATGTTCCTTTTCATTGGCAGTGGAGGAAATGACATGGAGTGACAGCAATTTTTAGACAATTTGGATCATATGTAATAAAGGAATCCATGGTCAAGTGTTGATCGATACCCTCGATGGATACTCCATTGAGACCTCGGCTGATGCTCGATCAGCACTGGATGGACATCTCAGTTGACAGTTGGTTAAGAGTCAACTAATTTTTGCAGACATGTCATAGCTTGTTGATCAAGACATTGATTGAGGGTTGATTGAGGGTATGGATTGACACTCATTCTATGCATGGAGGTTAACCTTAAATGAAGCACCAACCTGTGAGACAAGGCCAAACCACAACACTGGGAACTGGGTGACCTATTCAGGGGTTTCATTAAGGGCGAGGTACTGGGCAAATTGACTGACTGTGAGGATGATTTTGCCTGCCTGGTTAAACTATCTAGGGGAAAGTTTCTCTTACAAAGAAGATCAGTTTAAAATGTTTTGCCCCGTTGTGAAAACCAGTTATCCTCCTGCTGAAACCCCTGCTTATTGGAGGATCACTTTGCGTACATGTGACTAATAAATAACACATACATGTACCCTTCAGAACATTTCATTATTTAGAGAGTGTAAGGTTGAAGCACTCTTTCAGTGCGAACACACTGTATGTGAACAGTTTCCATTCTCATTCTCTTTTAGCCTCCAAAGAAGAAAAAGAAGGTTGAATCATCACCCAAGAAAGCTGAATCACCGTCAAAAAAAGCCAAAGAAAAGAAAGTGAAAGATAAAGCGAAAGACAAGGTTAAAAGCAAAGAAAAATCAAAATCAAAGAAAACAGGAGAGAAGGCAAAATCACCTAAAAAGATGGCGCCGGTTCAGGTTAAGATAACAGCTTTGAAAAAAGCCTCTCCGAAGAAGACTCCCAAAAAAGGTACGAGATGGAAAGTTACTCTTCAGGGCTCTCGTTAAGGGCTGAAACCCATGACATCTGCTATGGCTGAGTATGTTTGATGGGCCCT